ACCCTGCCCTCCGCTGATCCACCACAACACCTTGTGCCCTTCCACACAACCTCAGAAGACCCGAATGGCCTAGCTGACTTCTATCCTGGGCACACACCAGCCCCATTGCTGCCCCACTGACCCTTGCCACTGGGTGATGACCTGACCCTCTGGCACCATCCCACCATGTCCTGTCCCTCCCTTCCCTACCAGCCCTGTATATCACAATATTCATGGTTGGAAGGGACCTATGAGATCATCGAGTCCAACCACAAAAAAAAAAACCCACCCTACCAACACACACACACATCACAAAACCCAACAAGCTCGGCACTAGAGCATGCCCTGAAGTGCCACGTCTACAAGTTTCTTAAATCCCTCCAGGGATGGTGACTCCACCACCTCCCTGGGCAGGCTGTTCCAGGGCCTGACCACTCTCTCAGGAAAGTCATTCTTCCCAATATCTCATCTAAACCTCCCCTGCCCCAACTTCAGACCATTTCCTCTGCTCCCTTGGGAGAAGAGGCCAACCCCCACCTCTCTACACCCTCCTTTCAGGGAGTTGTAGAGGACAATGAGGTCCTCCTCAGCCTCCTCTTCTCCAAAATAACATGCCCAATGACTCCTCTCCGAACTAAACATGCCCATGTCTCCTCCTCAGCCATCTCCAGAACACTGTGCTGGGTGCATGCCTATCCTCCTTCTTCACCCTCAGAAACGACACCGGCTGCCCCCACGTGGTTTCCAAGCCAACAAAAAAACCCCATCCTAAAACACACATCTCCTCCCTGCCTGCCTGGCCCCTCCATGTCTCCTCCTCAGCCATCTCCAGAACATTGTGCCGGGTGCATGCCTATCCTTCGCCCTGAGAAACGACACCGGCTGCCCCCACATGGTTTCCAAGCCAACAAAAAAACCCCATCCTAAAACACACATCTCCTCCCTGCCTGCCTGGCCCCTCTCCTCGGCGCCTGATAACCTCCCCTGGTGGTCTCCACGGCTCCTGGTGGCCACCTCTCCCTCATCATGGCTTCGGGGCCCCCCAATAAGACGTGATGGCCGAGGGCAACCGGGAGCGATGCGCCCTCATCATGACCTCATGTGACAGGCCATCACAACCATTACTCATTCACCTCACCCCATCCATAGTGGACATCCCAAGAGTCCTCGGAGCTCTCCGGCCACAGGACCTGAATCTCCCCTCCAGTAGGGACCCTTCTCAAGACTACCTCTTGATTCCCCCGTGCCATGGCCCAACGGATCCTCCATACCTGCCTACTGCCATGCTAACCTTCAAAATATTACCCACCTCGCACAGAGAATCATGTAGACATCAACCATCTCCTGTAGACATCAACTGCTGACCTAGCCTGACGCAACAACCACCAAGTGGCCGTGTCCAAACTCCAGACAGAGTTTGGAAACCAAGGGCCTCCTCTCTGCACCTCCTGATGTGTCCCTGACACCGACCTCTAGGCGCTATCCAACCGATTCCACCCTGCCCACAAATCCTGTCAAAACCCTGCTGTGTTTAGTGTACGACCTCTTTTTTTTGCCAGCTTTCATTCCAATTACTGCATCGATGCCGCACCCTATGACCAAGGTCCATCTCCTCAGCCCCAAAGCCTACAATGATGCCGACCACCACCCCACGCTACTCTCGGGCGGCCAGGGGACAACCTCTGAACCCCTCTTGTGCCAGAATCATAGAATCATATGGGGTTGGAAGGGACCTCTGGAGACCATCTAGTCCAACTCCCCCTGCCAGAGCGGGTCTACCTACAGCACATTGCACAGGAACTTGTCCAAGTGGGTTTTGAATGTCTCCAGAGAAGGAGACTCCACCACCTCCCTGGGCAGCCTTTGCCAGGGCTCTGCCACCCTCACAGCAAAGAAGTTCCTCCTCATGTTGAGGTGGAACTTTTCATGTTCAAGTTTGTGCCTATTCCCTCTTGTCCTGTCCCTGGTCACCACTGAAAAAAGACCAGCTCTGTCCTCCTGACACCCTCCCTTTAAGTATTTGTATGTATTAATTAGATCTCCCCTCAACTTTCTCTTCTCCAGACTAAAAAGAGCCAAGTCCCTCAGCCTCTCCTCGTAGGAAAGATGCTCCAGGCCCTTAATCACCTTTGTGGCCCTCTGCTGTCCCCTCTCCAGCAGTTCCCTGAAGCCTGACCCTGCCTCAGTGCCAACCTTGGTGCCAACCTCGGTCCCTGCTGTCCCCACTCCTGCTGCTGAGGTTCAAGCTCCTGCTCCACACCTCCTCACCTGCCAGGGGATGGCAAAGAACTGCTACCTCTGCCTGGCCACGTGGCCAAGGGAACGTGTCACACGCATGTGCCTCACCTACACGTCATCTTCCTCACCGACAACACTCCACTCTGCAGGCCCTATGACACCTTCCACCTGATGGCCACCTCCACCATACACAACACCTGCCTCTACTGCCCTCCATGTTGACATGGCCTCAACCCAGGCCAACACACAACAACTGGTAGTACAACACCTGGCCTGTCCCCACAGTATGCACCCGGAGCGCGTGCTCACCTGGATGGGCCCCCTCCTCAGCCCTGGACTCCAGCGACGCTCGAGGCCCTGCCGGGAGCCTCTTCTCCACCTGGGATGCCATCTCCTTTGAGGCGACCGGTGCCTCACACCCCCAAACACCCGTGAGCACCATGCCCTCCACCATCCACCACCAGCTTTGTGTGAGCCCACTCTGGGCGATTCATTGCTCTTCATTGGACACATCTTCCACAAGGGACATGGCTCCTGTCTCCTGCCCTTTTGATCCAAAAAGCCCACCACGTTTATTGTGGGCATCTCCATTCCATCGCACCGTCGGTCTGCCCTCTCTTTAGCCAATCGCCTCGCTGTCTCCTCCTCCTCCTCCTCTTCCTCTTTTCCAAGCCAACAAAAAAACCCCATCCTAAAACACACATCTCCTCCCTGCCTGCCTGGCCCCTCTCCTCGGCGCCTGATAACCTCCCCTGGTGGGCTCCACGGCTCCTGGTGGCCACCTCTCCCTCATCATGGCTTCGGGGCCCCCCAATAAGACGTGATGGCCGAGGGCAACCGGGAGCGATGCGCCCTCATCGTGACCTCATGTGACAGGCCATCACAACCATTACTCATTCACCTCACCCCATCCATAGTGGACATCCCAAGAGTCCTCGGAGCTCTCCGGCCACAGGACCTGAATCTCCCCTCCAGTAGGGACCCTTCTCAAGACTACCTCTTGATTCCCCCGTGCCATGGCCCAACGGATCCTCCATACCTGCCTACTGCCATGCTAACCTTCAAAATATTACCCATCTCACACAGAGAACCATTGCACATACATACTCCTGTAGACATCAACCTGACCTAGCCTGACACAACAACCACCAAGTGGCCGTGTCCAAACTCCAGACAGACAGAGTTTGGAAACCAAGGGCCTCCTCTCTGCACCTCCTGATGCAATGGGACAGTGTCCCTGACGCCGACCTCTAGGTGCTACCCAACCGATTCCACCCTGCCCACAAATCCTGTCAAAACCCTGCTGTGTTTAGTGTACGACCTCTTTTTTTTGCCAGCTTTCATTCCAATTACTGCATCAATGCCGCACCCTATGACCAAGGTCCATCTCCTCAGCCCCAAAGCCTACAATGATGCCGACCACCACCCCACGCTACTCTCGGGCGGCCAGGGGACAACCTCTGAACCCCTCTTGTGCCAGAATCATAGAATCATATGGGGTTGGAAGGGACCTCTGGAGACCATCTAGTCCAACTCCCCCTGCCAGAGCGGGTCTACCTACAGCACATTGCACAGGAACTTGTCCAAGTGGGTTTTGAATGTCTCCAGAGAAGGAGACTCCACCACCTCCCTGGGCAGCCTTTGCCAGGGCTCTGCCACCCTCACAGCAAAGAAGTTCCTCCTCATGTTGAGGTGGAACTTTTCATGTTCAAGTTTGTGCCTATTCCCTCTTGTCCTGTCCCTGGTCACCACTGAAAAAAGACCAGCTCTGTCCTCCTGACACCCTCCCTTTAAGTATTTGTATGTATTAATTAGATCTCCCCTCAACTTTCTCTTCTCCAGACTAAAAAGAGCCAAGTCCCTCAGCCTCTCCTCGTAGGAAAGATGCTCCAGGCCCTTAATCATCTTTGTGGCCCTCTGCTGTCCCCTCTCCAGCAGTTCCCTGAAGCCTGACCCTGCCTCAGTGCCAACCTTGGTGCCAACCTCGGTCCCTGCTGTCCCCACTCCTGCTGCTGAGGTTCAAGCTCCTGCTCCTCACCCCTCACCTGCCAGGGGATGGCAAAGAACTGCTACCTTTACCTGGCCACGTGGCCAAGGGAACGTGTCACACGCATGTGCCTCACCTACACGTCATCTTCCTCACCAACAACACTCCACTCTGTTGGCCCTATGACCCCTTCCTGCCCGTCCCGCCTGACGGCCACCTCCACCATACACAACACCTGCCTCTACTGCCCTCCATGTTGACATGGCCTCAACCCAGGCCAACACACAACAACTGGTAGTACAACACCTGGCCTGTCCCCACACTATGCACCCGGAGCGCGTGCTCACCTGGATGGGCCCCCTCCTCAGCCCTGGACTCCAGCGACGCTCGAGGCCCTGCCGGGAGCCTCTTCTCCACCTGGGATGCCATCTCCTTTGAGGCGACCGGTGCCTCACACCCCCAAACACCCGTGAGCACCATGCCCTCCACCATCCACCACCAGCTTTGTGTGAGCCCACTCTGGGCGATTCATTGCTCTTCATTGGACACATCTTCCACAAGGGACATGGCTCCTGTCTCCTGCCCTTTTGATCCAAAAAGCCCACCACGTTTATTGTGGGCATCTCCATTCCATCGCACCGTCGGTCTGCCCTCTCTTTAGCCAATCGCCTCGCTGTCTCCTCCTCCTCCTCCTCTTCCTCTTCCTCCTCCTCCTCTTCTTCTTCTTTTTCGCACTCCTCTGTCATGCACACCCTTGCTGCCAAAAAAAAAAAATAAAACCAAAAGGGGCACCTACCGTAGAGGATGATGCTGGCGTTGGTGTTGCCCAGCTTGTTCGTGGCCACACACGTGTAGTTGCCATAGTCCTTCTCCGAGACGTTGAAGAAGGTCAGCGTGGACAGGCGGCCCTTGCTCTCGATCCTCACCCCCTCCAGCCCGTTCGCTAACCTGCTGGGAAACAAGGGGCTCTTGGTGATGGAGCTTGGGACCTCCTGTCCCTTCCCACATCTCCTCGCCAGCCACCCTTTGCCCCGTCGAGGTGCCCCACAAGCCCTCGTCCCCTGGAAAAACCCTGCAGGACCACCCTGAAATCTCCCTATCTTCGGACGAGCTCCTGACCCCACGACGTGGTCGGCATCCCCATGGTCCTCCTGACTGGACCATGAAGTTTCCCCTTCATAGAATCCCATGGGACTCTGGAGATCTTCCAGTCCAACCCTCCTGCCAAAGCAGGTCCATCCAGAGCAGGTCCCACAGCTGGGGTTTGAATGTCTCCAGAGAAGGAGACTCCACCACCTCCCTGGGCAGCCTCTTCAGGGCTCTGCCACCCTCACAGCAAAGAAGTTCCTCCTCACGTTTAGGTGGCACTTCTTATACTCAAGTTTGTGCCCGTTTCCTCTTGTCCTGTCCCTGGGCACCACTGAAAAAAACCCAGCCCTGTCCTCCTGAGACCCTCCCTTTAAGTATTTGTAGGCATTGATCAGAGTCCCCCTCAGCCTGTTCTTGTCCAGACTAAAAATTCCCAAGTCCCTCAGCATATCCTCGTAAGAGAGATGCTCCATGCTCCTAATCAACCTTGTCCCTCTGCCTTGTCCCCTCATTCCCATCCCATCCTAACCCTGGACAACCGGGGTCAACCCCAGCCCGTCCCACCCCCCATCTCCCCGCCACTGCTCCTCGCCTGGTGTCCTCCTTGAACCACTGGAACTCCGCCACGGGGACGGCCGAGGCCTCGCACTGCAGGATGCCCTTCTGGCCCACCGAGGCGCCCGTGTTCTTGGCGTTGGAGATGTACGGCGGGTCTGCGGAGAGGCCGGGTCGTGTCACCTGCGGTCCCACACCCCTTCCCCACACCCCCCTCTTGCCCCCCTGCACTCACAGTTGACGGTGACTTTGACTTTCCGCACGTCCGGGACGGCCACGTCGTTGACGGCGCTGCACTCGTACTCCCCGGACTGCTCCCGCGTGATGCCCGTGATCTCCAGGTACTCGTCCTCGCTCACGAAGCCCTGCCCTGGGAGATGGCCCCATGGTGCATACCACCGTTAGCCCTCACCCAGGAGCCGTGGAAGGCCACCCACCAAACCATGGTGGTCCCCTTCTCACCCAGGAGCCACCAAACCATGGTGGTCCCCTTCCTGCATCTCTACGGAGACCTCCCTCCATCCCCCATCTCAACCCCCAAGCACACGCTCACCTTTCCCAGAGAGATGCCGCCACGTGACGGTGGGCTCCGGTCGGCCGAAGGCCAGGCACATGAGGGTGACGCTGCTGCCCTCGTTGACGGTGATGTCCGAGGAAATGTTCACGATCTGGGGGGGAACTGCCAAAGACAAAAAACAAGACAAGGTGCCGTCAACACACCTGTGGGCACTCACCCATCCACGCGCCGCCGCAACGCCCCGAACACCAGATTTGCCCCCATCATAGAATCATAGAATGGTCTAGGTTGGAAGAGACCCTTGGGATCATCGAGTCCAACCATCTCCCCTACTCTACAAAGTCCATGTCCCTCAGTACCGCATCTAAACGTCCCTTAAACACATCCAGGGATGGTGGTGACTCCACCCCCTCCCTGGGCAGCCTGTTCCAATGCCCGACCACTCTTTCGGTGAAAAATTCTTTCCTAATGTTCAATCTAAACCTCCCCTGTTGGAGCTCGAAGCCATAAATCGGCGTCCACCTCGTTGCCACGTTCTATCACCAACCCCCTTCCTTCCACCCAGCATCTCCTGCTGGATTCCAGCATGGAGCCAGGGTCTGATCACCCATCCCCTGTGCTGTAGGGTTGGTGGACGTGCCAATCCCCTGTTGGAGCTCGAAGCCATAAATCGGTGTCCACCTCGTTGCCACGTTCTATCACCAACCCCCTTCCTTCCACCCAGCATCTCCTGCTGGATTCCAGCATGGAGCCAGGGTCCCATCGCCCATCCCCTGTGCCATAGGGTTGGCGGACATGCCAACCCCCTCCCTTGCCCAGCCGAGTCCCCACGACCTGCCCTCCCTACACACCCCAACGAGGCTCATCTTTTAGCATATTTATTAAGGCCGTTCCAATTACCGAGCGTCTGCTCCGTTCAATACCAGCCACGCTGATTTATATCACTCTACCCCCACATACTCCACCTAATAAATAACTTGGCAATCTCCGCTCCCATAAATATACCCGGCCCTGGCAAAAAAAGCCATTAAAGCCTGCGTGCCCGATGCTGTGTCCCAGTGCCTGAGTCATGAAACCCAGAGATACGGCCCAAAAAAGGCCCTGCAACCCCGACAGCAAATGCATCCCACAAAACTGGCCAACCTCAACATCCAACCACCCCTACAATGGCAGAAACGATGACCTGTGCCACCTCGCACAGGTACGCGTGGTGATGTCCACCCAACCCTTGTGTCAGGGGCTCTTCCCCCCGGCTGGAATGCCAGGAGACTGGCCTAAAAATTGCTGGGGGCCACACCGACACTGCTTGTGATGGAACCCGAGGGCTACCTCAATCACCTCGCACCCCAGGAGACCATCCCTGCAGTGATGGGGCTATCCTACACGAGGAACTGGCCAAACAGGGACCTCCAGCAAGGTGCCCCAGTGGACTGTCCCCTCAACGGCTCCCTCAAAACTGCCTATAACCACTAGGCTCTGCTCCTCAAGGACGTGCAACCAAAAATCCTCCCTGTCCTCTCCATCAGACTCCCGGGCCTGCTCTCCCCGTGCTCCTTCCCCACATAGCAAGAAGCAGCACGACTGGAGACCTGGAGACCACGTGGCCTCATCTCACAGCCCTACAGGTACACTACACGAGGCGGTAAATTCTCCAGCAGCCTGACAGATTAATTTGAGGTACAGTCTCCTACAGCAGAGGGAGATTGTCTGAGTCCTTCAGGGGGAAAAAAGGGCAAAGACAAAAATGAAGTCTACGCTGGAAAATCACAAAAATCAGAGCTAATAGTCAGAATGGAGCTGACCCCCTTTCCCCCCGATGAGCTCTGCCCCATGATGGCCGACTTCCAAGGTATGACCTTCTCCCCGATGATGGGCACCCTTGTGCCTCTCCCCTCACCTCAAACACGTACCAGGAACATCAAAAAAACCCCAACATCCAAACAAGCCTTCCCAGAACAAGAAGGTGCCACCTGCTCATGACCCTGCGAGCTATCCTTCCAGGAGATGGGTTGTGCTCCGAGAGGACACCAACACCACTAATGGATGGTGAAACCCTAGAAAGGCAACCCCTGCACCTCCCATCATGGGAAGAGCAAGAGGTGTGGAGGTGGGCAACACGGATGGTGTGTCATCCACTCTCTGAATGACCCCCTGCTTGACACGTCACGCAACCTGAGGGGTTGAAAAACCACGCGGTGCAGGCAACAAAGGAACCATGAGCAGACATTATTGGCTTCCCACCGAGCACGCTGCCAGGAGAAAGCAGGCACCACCAGGCTTCACAAAAACTCACCCTACGGAAAGCACTGCATGGCCAAAAAAATCAACAGGAATCCACCCACAAAGATACCTCATCTGCACCACCTTCCCATCCCGCGTCCTCCAGGTGGACCTGCTCCACACTGACCTTGGACAAAGACACCCAGATGGACAGACAGACCACCTGGGCACGCCGTCCTAAGGACACCTACACTGCCTGCAGAGTGTCCCCCAAAATGATTGCTATCCCATTGGCATCAGGCAAGGAGCCCCTAGAATGGGGCTGTCCTCTCCTGACCAAAAAAAAGTGGGGGACACATGCAGGGAGTAGGTCATGGCAGGTCCAGTGTCCTCCTCCTGGCCCTCTCCTGGCTCCTGGTCGGAGTGCCTTTCCCAACCTTGAGACCAAAACCGCACCTCCAAAGGATCTTGGAGCTCCAAAACTGCAGCTCTGGACACATTGGTATCCTGTCCCCCTCCTGGCTCCTGGTCGGAGTGCCTTTCCCAACATTGAGTCCAAAACTGCACCTTCAAAGGACCTTGGAGCTCCAAAACTGCAGCTCTGGACACATTGGTATCCTGTCCCCCTCCCAGCTCCTGGTCGGAGTGCCTTTCCCAACCTCGAGTCCAAACCGCACCTCCAAAAGACCTTGGAGCTCCAAAACTGCAGCTCTGGACACATTGGTATCCTGTCCCCCTCCCAGCGCCGCAAATACTTTCCCTCCTGCCCCAAAACTACCACTAACAATAACCAGGATGGTCCCAGTGCTCCCAGTCCTCACCAAAACACACGTGGGCTCAACGTCCCTTCCCTGAGCCAAGGATGCTGATGTAGTGGCACATGCCACCAAAGACTGTGACGTCCTGAACCCCCTGGCAGAAGCTTCTAGGGCTGGAGAAGTGCCCCCATGCTGCCACGCTGGCTGCCCTGCTCCCACCAGAACTGTCTCCTAAAGCTGGTGGGACGTTCAGCAGAAGGATGCCCGTGGAGGGCTCGGGAGCCCATCACATGGCTCGATACCACGCCGTGACAGCGATCGTTTCCTACAACATTACTAGGACTTGGAGAAGGACATCTCAGAACCTTGATTACATTTCTATAGATCCCACCAGCCAGACTGATGAGGACGGTGTCTCAAGGGCGTGATGACTTCCCCTTGGCATGGGATGGGCAGATGGGAACTGGGTCCGTGCTGGTACCCAGTCGGCACCGGATGGGACCCAAGCACTGTCAGGTGGGACAAACGCACGGCCAAATACAACCGTGTGGATAAAACCAACCTGTGGCTATGGGAAGAGGTGGGTACGGCCACAGCACGTGTACACTGCCCAAAAGACATGTCCTACCTTGAGAGTTGTTGTTTCTCAAGTTTGGGACAGCTGAGGACCCCTGTTGGCACCCGTTCCATACCCTCTCCCATGCCCCTGTGGAGCTCTCCGTCTCCCCGAAGATGGAGAAGTCCCGTGGTCCTACCCTGCCTCACTGCACACTCCCATCAAAATAGACCATGCCCATATTCATCGACCCGTCACCATCACCATCCCTTGCACCGCCTCCGATTCATTATGAGATGAGATGTGGGGAACAACTTGGTGTTCACCTCACCACACTTGGTGGTGAGAGCCTGGCCCAGGTCGCCCCGAGAAGCTGTGGCTGCCCCATCCCCGGAGGGGTTCAAGGCCAGGTTTGACAGGCAACCTGGTGTGGTGAGACAAGGGACAGGGGGTTGGACCGAGCTGATCTCTAAAATCCCTTCTGACGTCATCCGTTCCACAATTCTGGGACTCCATAACCACCAGGGGAACACACAACCAGCCAGAAGCGTGGCTACGGCGGGGCTGTCGCTTGGTTGGCAAGATACGGAGCCGTTGTCCTGCTCTGCTGCTCACCCAACAAACAGGTCCACGTGGACATAATAGACTGTGCAACGCCTTGCTCTACTGAGCAGCTCCCATGACTCTGCACCTCAGCACGATGTGCCTCATCACGCAAGAGTTGAGAAAAAGGGCTCAAATCCTCCTCCATTGCTCATGACCATGACGGGCAGAAGCCCCCACGTGCAGGATGTCTGCCCCAATACGTGGTTCTGACCCACCATTGGGATACCACGAGGATTCCCAGGGGTTGCTGGACCTTTCCATGGATGAACATGGCCTTGGCCCCCTCTGGAGGACCTCCCCGGCCCCGAGACAGCTCCCAGAGTGGCGATGAGCTTCTCACCATCTAGAGCTCAGGCAAAAGGATGCCATGGGGATGGATGCTCCTCATCCCCCCTCATTCCTTGTCCTCCCTTCCTGCAAAAACCCGACACCCACAAGCACACCGACCACCAAATAAATCCCGAGGAAAGGAGTCCCCCCGTGGATTTTGTCGACCCGGCGTAATATTAATCCCGGCGCAGCTACTGCATAATGTTTGGTAGAGCACAAAATAACATCTCGCTCTGTAATTCCTTGTTTGTTCGCAAAAGCCGGCGACAGAAATTGAATGTGAAAGCGAAGCCGCTACGTTCAATAACAATAAGCCCGTGATTTATCTCCTTCCTTTACTGCTCCAGACCCCAACCGCCCGACGCGCCGACGCGCTCTCCTCCTTGGACCCGGGTGCCTGATGGTTGCTGAGGGATGCCATCCCTCCCCTCGCATCCTAAAATGCCCACTTTTAAAAGTGGCACAGCCTCAGCACTGACACCGACAACTGATGTCCCTCCCTAGCTCATAAATACCTAGGTAGTCCAGGTTGGAAGGGAAGGCACCTTCCAGATCATCAAGTCTAGCCTAAAACGCCGACAAAACCACCACTAAAGCATGCTGAACCTCTTCCAACACCTTTGATAGGTTGGTACGAGCCTTTGGGCTCCTCAAACTGCCGATGGCCCGCCTCTACTCAGGGGAAGCATCCC